GTCACTACAACATGAGGAATTGTATTAAAGGGTCGTGGCATTAAGAAGGTTGAGAACCAGTGCTTTAGTAGGAAAGGTATACTTCTAAGTATAACAATAGAAGGCAGATTTACCAGGATAAATACAAAATAGAAATAGCTCTGAAGTGCAGAGGCAGTCCAATAGAGGGGTTTGACAGTATACTGATTTGGAAATTGTGACATATTCTGCAGGCATGATAACATGTATGCTATATTCAAGGAACTACAAGTAGTTTGTTACAGCTAGAAAATAGGGTAGAACTTAACAGTGACGATAGAAAAGGTAATATATGTCATACTAAGAAGCTTGGTCTTTGTAACGTGAGAATTAGTTGTAAGGCTGGTTACAGGCTAGAGAGTCTGCTTTGGTGTAGGGGTTGTATGGAGACCTGGAATCTTTTTTGTTTACTTGTTTATTATTAATTGGGAGTTATACACATATCATTCCATTGTTCAGTTATGTCAAGCAGAATTTTAAGTAAGCATTCTAGGTAGATATATATGGCCATACTATGCTATCAGCTCAGTTTTCTAAGTAAATGGCATCGTATTAGTAGATTTTTAAAATACAATCCAGAACACATGACTAAAGCTCATTGCCATGGAGATAATTCTGTCTGGAAGCTACCCTACAGAGTAGAGATGAACTGCCCTGGTGGGTTTCTGAGGCTGTAAAGTTTTTTCAGAGTAGCGAGCCTTATCTTTTTCTCCCACAAAGCAGCTGTGGTACGAAACTGCTGGTCTGTGGCTAGCAACCCAATGTGTGCTAGACCGCACAGCACCAAGGCACCTCCTTGTGGACATGCATGGAGCCAAAGCTTTTCCTGATGTGTCAGAACTCAAATGAGAAGAAACCACGACAACCATCCATCAATAATTGGAACATGGAATGTATGAAGTAAGAATCTAGGAAGATGGTCAAAAAGTGAAGTGGAATACCTAAAGATTGGTATCTGTGGTATTCATGGGCTGGAATGGACTGATATTAGCCATTTTGAAAAGGACTCTTATGGCTTACTGTCCCGAGAATGACAATTGGAAGAAGAATGACAAATGTTATATTCACAGTCAAGAAAAAAAAAGTTTTTTTAATTTTAATCATTTCATTGGGGCTGTTACAGCTCTGATAACAATCCATATATCAGTTGTATCAAGCACCTTTTTACGTAAATGTTGCCATCATCATTTCCAAAATATTTTCTTTCTACTTGAGCCCTTGGTATCAGCTCCTCTTTTTCCCCATTCCCCCCACCCCTCTTGTGAACCTTTGATAATGTATAAATTATTTTCATAGTTTACATCGCCCGCTGTCTCCCTTCACTCAAGCTTTTGTTGTTTGTCCCTCTGGGGGAGGGGGTGGTTGTACATCCATCATTGCAATTGGTTCCCCCTTTCTCCCACTTCTCCCCGCACCTTCCCCCCGCACCTTCCCCCTACCTACCCTCATGGTATGGCTACTCTCATTAGTGAACGGTTCTGAGAGGTTTATCTGTCCTGGATTCTGTGTGTGGTGAGCTCTAATCTGTAGCAGTGGACGTGCTCTGGTCTAACCTGATTTGTAAGATAGAACTGGGATCATGATAGTGGAGGGGAGGAAGCATTTAAAGAACTAGAGGAATGTTGTATTCGTTGGAGCTATGCTGTACCCTGGCTGGCTCGTCTCTTCCTTGTGACCCCTCTGTGAGGGGATGTCCAATTTTCTACAGATGTGTTTTGGGTGTTCTGATACCTGATCCTGTTGACACCTTGTGATCACAGAGGTTGGTGGGCTTTGTTGCTTCTCTGTTAAATGGCCGCTTGTTGAAACTTTTCAGACCCCAGATCCTATATCTTGTAATTGCTGGGCACCATCAGCTTTCTTCACCACATTAGCTTATGTACCCATTTTGTCTTTAGCATTCACGTCAGGAAGCTGAGCATCACAGAATGCCAGGTTATTAGAACAAAATTTTCTTGTGTTGAGGGGGGACTTGTTAGAGGCCCAGTGTCTTGTCTGCTACCTTATACTTAACCTATATACCTATCGCTGCATATTAATATATTTACATATGTACATGCCTATGTTTATTCCTCTATAAATGTCTTTTGTCTCCTAGTTCTTATCTGTATTTCCTTTTACTGTCCTGGCCCACTATCATCTTCGACCTTCATTCCGCTCTCTGTACTTGCTCTCTGCATGGCACTTGATCGAACCTCCACCAGAAAAAGAAAATTTCAAGATATATTCTGAAGTATAATGTTGTCAGTGATAGGATAATACCTGCATACCTACAAGGAAAATAATTGCCATTGAGATGATTCCAACTCATAGTGAGCCTATAGGTCCGAGCGCACTGCCTCTTTAAGTTTGTGAAACTTTATATCTTTCCAGGGGCAGACGCCTCCTCTTTCTCCCATGGAGCAGCGCGTGGGTTCAAACTTCTCAGTACATAACCTATGAGGCCATTAAAGTGCCTGATGCTTACAAGGAAGATCATTTAAATATAATTATTATTTAAACTTACATACCAACCACCAAAGCCAATAATGAAGAAATGGGAGAATTATCCCAATGTCTGCGGTATGAAATTGATCAATCAAGATACACTGAAAGCATTGGAGAAAAAGCACCAGGAATTGAAATGTTAAAAAGCTGATGGTAGTGTTCACTCATCTATGCCAAGAAATATGGACAAGTACCTTGCCATCCAATTGGAAGACACCTTATTTGTGCCTATTCCAAAGAAAGTTGACCTATAAGATTATGGAAGTTATTGATCAATATCATTAGTAGCAGGTACAAGTAAAATGTTGCTGCAGATTATCCAATAATGGTTGCAGCACTACATTGATGAGGAGCTGCCAGAGGTGCAGGCTGTATTCAGACAAGGGTGTGACACTTAATATCATTTCTAATGTCAGATAGGTCTTGGCTTGAAGCAGAGGATGTTTCCTTGTGTTTTATTGATTATCCTAAAGCATTCAACTGTGTGGATCTTAACAAATAATGGAGAACCTTGAGAAAAATGGGAATTCCAGACCACTTCATTGTGCTCATGTGGGACCTGATACCTGGGTCAGGAGGTTGGTTTTGCAAACAACATGAGAATACTTGGATCTATTTAAAATCAGGAAATATGTGCATCAGGGTTGTAACCTTTCAACGTACTTTTAAATCTGTATACTGAGCAAATCTTCAGAGATGCTGGATTATATGAAGGAGAATGTGGTATTGGGATTGGAAGAAGGCTTGCTAACACCTACGTTATGCAGATGACACAACCTTCCATGCTTGCTGAAAGTAAGGAGGACTTGAAGCACTTGCTGTTGGAGATCAAAAATTGCAGCCTGTATGGATTACAACTTGGTGTAAAGAAAACAAAAATGCCCACAATTGGACCAGTAGGTACCATGATAAATGGAGAAATGATTGAAGTTGTCTAAGGTTTTGTCTTGTTTGGGTTCACCCACAATGCTCATGGAAGCAGCAGTAAGACAATGTGAGGACACATTGCACTAGGTAAGTCTGCTGCATAAGACCTCAGAGCATTGAAAAGCAAGGATGTGTGAAGAAAGCTGATAATGCCCGGCTATCAAAAGATATAGTGTCTGGGGTCTTAAAAGCTTGAAGGTAAAGAAGCGGCCATCTAGCTCAGAAGCAACGAATCCCACATGGAAGAACACACCAGCCTGTGTGATCACGAGGTGCCGAAGGGACCAGTTATCAGGCAGCAAAGAAAAAATTCTATCATTGTGTGCACACCTCCATGATATGATCGCTGAAGACAAATGGGTGCATAAGCAAATGTGGCGACGAAAGCTGATGGTGCCCGGCTATCAAAAAGTATAGCATCTGGGGTCTTAAAGGCTTGAAGGTAATCAAGCGGCCATCTAGCTCAGAAGCAACAAAGCCCACATGGAAGAAGCACACTAGCCTGTGCGATCACGAGGTGTCGAAGGGATCAGGTATAAGGCATCATCAGAATAAAAAAAAAAAATCTTATCATAATGAATTAGGGGGGTAGTGCAGAGTGGAGACCCAAAGCCAATTTGTAGGCCACTGGAGATCCTCTTGCAGAGGGGTCTTGGGGAGGAGACGAGCCAGTCGGGGTGTGATGTAGCAACAATGAAAAATACAACTTCCCTCTGTTTCCTAAATGCTTCCTCCACACCCCCACTATCATGATCCGTATTCTACCTTGCAAGTCTGGCTAGACCAGAGGATGTACACTGGTACAGATAGGAACTGGAAACACAGGGAATCCAGGGTGGATGATCCCTTCACGACCAGTGGTGTGAGTGGCGATACTGGGAGGGTAGAGGGAGATTGGGTTGGAAAGAGGGAACCGATTACAAGGAACTATATGTGACCTCCCTGGGGGACGGACAACCGAAAAGTGGGTGAAGGGAGACGTTGGACAGGGCAAGATATGACAAAATAATAATTTATAAATTATCACGGGCTCATGAGGGAGGGAGGGGAAAAATGAGGACCTAATAATGAGGTCCTGTTGCTAGGGGCTTAAGTTGAGAGGAAATGTTTTGAGAATGATGAGGGCAGTGAATGTACAAATGTGATTTACACAATTGATGTATGTATGGATTGTGATAAGAGTTGTATGAGCCCCTAATAAAACGATTTTTAAAAAAAAACCGAGAAAAAGAAGAAAAACAAAAAACAAGAAAAGCAAGGATGTTACTTTGAGGATTAAAGTACACTGATCCAAACCATAGTATTTTTAATTACCTCATAAGCCTGTGAAAGTTAGACATTGAATGAGGAAGACTGAAGAAGAATTGATGCACTTGAATTATAGTACTGGTGAAGAAAATTGAAAGTAGTGAACTGACAAAAGCACAAGCAATTCTGTTGGGGAAGAAGAATGACCAGAGTGCTCCTTAACAGCAAGGATGGTGAGACTTGGTCTCAGGTACTTTGGACATGCTCTCAGGAAAGTCCAGTCCCCAGAGAAGGACATCATGCTTAATAAAGTAATGGGGTTGTGAAAAAGAGGAAGACTTACTGTGAGATGGATTGGCACAATGGCAACAATGAGCTCCCACAGAAAGACAATTTTAAGGATGGTACAGGACCAGGCAGTGTTGCCTTCCATTGTACGTATGGTCACTATAGACCATTAGCAAGGCTTTAGAAATGGCTTACTAAATTGACACTTTAATGAAGCTGTCAAAAATATGGTGACATTATTATTAGTATGTTGATACAAATCTAAAATTTTTAGAATGGGTGTAGGCCCCAAGAAGTTAGAAAAATTCCTTTGGAATGTGGCAAAGAGCTGCTTAAAAATCTGGTAGGCACCTCCAGTGAGATAGGCAGTATTCCAAAAAGCAGATCCTGGCGGGGAATGCAGACTATGTCGAGGAGAGCATGTGCACACTACGCACACGGCCCTTCTTGATAATCCTTGTATACAAAATGATTGCTTCATTTGTACTTTCAAGGAACATTGACACTTTCTTGGACAATTTTCGTAGAAGGTTAAGGCTCTAGATTCAACCCTAAACCTAGTAGAGAGGAACTATATTAAGGAAGATAGCATAGCTATGAATATTTTCTTAACCTGTTTCCCTTTTTTCTGTTGTTGATTCTTTTCTCCATCATACAACATATTCTGCCTTGCCATGAGAAAATGACGATGATTAAGTAGTAAAGGAAGATCGTCAATCCTTGGCCTAATGGATGGAGGGAAATACTAAGTGTTGGAAGGGTGGGAAAAACCTCCAAGACAGTGCTGCTTCCTTTTAGGTATGGTTGGACACATGAAAATTAGGCTTATCTAATTGTAGGACTGTATAACAGTGGTTCTCAACCTTCCTAATGCCGTGATCCTTTAGTACAGTTTCCTCATGTTGTGGTGACCAGGGGTCACGACCCACAGGTTGGGAACCGCTGCTCTATAAAATAATGTTTGTCATTGTTCTAATTGAGAAAAGAGGAATTTGTGTTTTGTATATGTTATTTAAGGAGGGTAGATGACTGCTAACCAAAATATCAGTAGTTCAAGCACAGTAGCCACTCTGGAAGAAGGAAGATTGAGAATTCGTTTTCATAGTGGTTTACAACCTCTGAAACTCTATGGGGCATTCAAATTCGGCCTATTAGGGCACTCTGAGTCAGAATTGATTTGATGGCAGTGTATTTGGGTTTATATGCTATTTAAAAGGAAAGATTCACCCCCCAGATAACGTGTCATTTAAAAAAGAAAAACAACTTAGTTGAAACTGCCTCCCTAAATAATGCCTTCTAATTAAGAATTACTGTCCAAATTTAGATAATACAAAAACAAGCAAATAAACATTTTCTTAGCAAGATGAGTTTTGATACTTCAAAAATTCATTTTCATTATTTGTCAATAAAAAAAAAATTAGATTGATTTTTGTGGCTGCACTGGTTTTTAAAATGAAAGGATTGCATGAACACAAAGACTTAAGAGTGTTTTATCTTATGTCAATATGTCTGAAGTCATCTCCACCTTTCACTTAACAAATATTTAATGTTCTGTCCCTTAGTTGTGGGAGAATAAGCTAATGCAGTCTAGGGCTGTAGATGGATTTCACTCAGAAGAACAGCAGCTTTTATTGCAAGTACAGCAGCAGCACCAGCCTCAGCAGCAGCACCATCACCACCACCACCATCAGCAAGCTCCACCACAGCAGACGGTACCGCAGCAAACGCAGACCCAGCAGGTCCTTATTCCTGCATCACAACAAGGTGAGACTGGGTTTGTTTTCTCTCTTAGAACTTGGAAATGAAATTTGCTCTTTTGAAAGAAGAGAAATAATCTGAGTTTCTTGGATCTTATTTTAAGAGAGATTTTGAGACCTATGGAGGAGCCCTGGTGGTGTAATGGTTATGAGTTGGGCTTCTTTCTGCAAGGTCAGCAAGTTGAAATCATGAGTCACTCCACCGGAGAAAGACAGGACTTTCTATTTCTGTAAAGAGTTACAGTCTTTTTGGAAACTCACAGGGGCAGTTTTACCCTGCCCTGTAAAGGGTCGGTATGAGTCAACATCGACTCAATGGTGATGAGTTTGGGTTTTTGGTTTTGAAACCTGTAAAAACCCACACTTTTTGTTCCCCTTTTGATTGGCAGAGCATATGTGCTTTTATGTGTAGGTAGGTAGATTTGTAAAATAATGGAATTTAGCTTTCTTGGTATAGTAATGTTGGAGAACTTATATGAATATTTCTTTACAGAAGACTGTTAGGGATTTTCTAAAAGAAATCAGATCTACAAAGATTTACTTAATAAAAGTTATATTTCATAAAATAGTGATCTATTTTATAAAACTATTTTATGGACCTGCTTTATTCCTTCAAAAAAATTTGTGTTAACACTGGAAGAAATCCTTTCCCAGTCTGAGCACTCAGTCCTGTAGTAATTTCTGTAAGTCTAAATTGACTGAATATTGTTTCTTCACAGTGAGGAGGGAGTATATATATTTTTCTTTTTAGGTAATTTGGCTTATAGATAAGAAAAAACTATCCATAGTACTTTGCACTCTAAAAATGTTTAGATAATGTTTCATTGAAGGCATTAAAAGGTTTAGTGAAGTTAACTACCGGTAACTCCATTTTATAGTGGTGTAAAGCCTTGGCGTACAAAGGCTAAGAAACATGACACTTTACTTGTAACAAGAATTTTCCTTCACCACAAACATAATCAGTGACCAACCTTCTGGGGCATTGTTAGTAAATCTTCTGAAGGTTTATTAAACAGGAACATGAAGGAAAACGAGAAATCCACATTAAAGCTAGTATTTACTTATTTCTCATCTGAGTATATTTTAAGACTTGAAATTGATAGTGATAGGCAATCAAAAGGTCTGTGTGGATTATTATACTATTGACACCAGATGAGGCTTTTAATAACTGACTTTGATGTGTAACCCACTGCTTTCCAGTCCTTTCTGACTGACATCAACTCGACAGGACAGGATAGAACCTGTAGGGTTTCTGGGACTGTAAGTCCTTATAGAAGCACACTGCCTCGTGTTTTGTTTGTTTTTGTTTTTTTGTGGAGTAGCTGGTGGGTTCAAGTTGTAAACCTTTTGGTTAGCAGGCCAATAATTAACCCATACCAGGGTTGCTGTTTTAATCTATACCTTACATTAAATAATAAAATCCTTTTCCTTTGTATTGATGACTGTGCCTCCTCTTGCCTTCAGACCTGGCACTAGGGTTTTAGGTCATCATAAATAAAAAATTGATTTTCTTCACTCAGAGAATAATAGAATAATGGGTTTTATCTGACTATTCTCTGAAATTTGCGGAATCAAACAGCTCCTTTCACACTTATACAAGGTTCCCATTACTTCTGGTATGTATTTTTAAAATAAACTTGGTATGTAGCTAATGATTGTAGTAACTTACCAAATCAAGAGAAAAGACCTATGTCAGTTTTTAAAGCTCACTCTTAGTGAGCTAGTAACTCCTTCCTCCAATGGTATCATTGTATCAGTAAAAATTTCATGCTGGCTAGAATACATTGTTTCAGAGCTCCCTGTTGATTTAAGGAAGTACAGAAAGATGTGTATTTAAGGTGTTAAGAGTTCTACAACATAGAGAATGAATCTCACTACTTTACGTTACTAAGTTCCCTGGCATCTCATTGATGTTTTCCAGGATAGAGTGAGTATATCACAGCTGTTGTCTTCCATAACATCTTAGAATGTTTTGGCATATCAAATGGTTTAAATATAGCTAAATGCCGACAATGTGAACAACATGAAAAAAGAAACATTGTGTATCTTTTTGTATTTGTGAGCTAGCCTCATTAATTCTTTATTCCATGTGTGTTTTGTTTTGTAGCAGCGGCACCACAGGTTATTGTTCCTGATTCTAAACTAATACAACATATGAATGCATCAAACATGGTAAGATTCAGAATTAATGCACTTTCATGGTATATTTTAACTCAAGTTGTGATTAAGCTTAGGTATGTAGTTTATTAACATGAAGTTTGTTCAAGATGTGAGCATTTTTACTAGCTTCTTAAACAGTGGATTTAACAGCAAATCTAAAGTTTAGCTTGGCATTTAGACACTAAGGTTTATAAAGTTAACTAATTTAATGAAGGAAAATGAGAAATCCACATTAAAGCAAGTATTTACTTATTTTCATCTAAGAGTGTATTTTAAGAATTGAAATTGATAGTAATTAATACACAACCAAACGATCTGTGTGGGTTATTTTACTATTGACACAAGATGTGGCTTTTAATAGCTGACTTTGATCTGTAACCCACTGCTGTCCAGTCCTTTCTTTTTTAAAATCATTTTATTGGGGGCTGATATAACTCATCACAATGCATACATACATCAATTGTGTAAAGCACAATTGTACATTCGTTACCCTCATCATTCTCAAAACATTTGCTCTCCACTTAAGCCCCTGGCATCAGCTCCTCATATTTCCCCTCCCTCCCTGCTCCCCACTCCCCATGAGCGCTTGATAATTTATAAATTATTATTTTGTCATATCTTACACTGTCTGACGTCACCCTTCCCCCACTTTTCTGTTGTCCACCCCCCAGGGAGAAGGTTATATGTAGATCTCTGTGATCGGTTTCCCCTTTCCACACCACCCTCATTCCATCCTCCTGGTATTGCCACTCTCATCACTGGTCCTGAAGGGATCATCCATCATGGATTCCCTGTGTTTCCAGTTCCTATCTGTACCAGTGTACATCTTCTGGTCTAGCCAGATTTGTAAGGTAGAATTGGGTTTATGATAGTGTTTGTGTGGTGGAGGAGGAAGCATTTAGGAACTAGGGGAAAGTTATTTGTTTCATCATTGCTACATTGCACTCTGACTGGCTTATCTCCTCCCTGGGACCCTTCTGTAATGGGGTGTCCATTTGCCTACAGATGGGTCTTGGTTTTCCAATCTGCACTCCCCCTCATTTACAAAGATTTGACTTTTTGTTCTTTGATGCTTGATACCTGATCCCTTTGACACTTCGTGATTACACAGGCTGGTGTGCTTCATCCATGTGGGCTTTGTTGCTTCTGAGCTAGATGGCCTCTTGTTTACCTTCAAGCTTTTAAGACCCCAGATGCTATATCTTTTGATAGCTGGGCACCATCAGCTTTCTTCACCACATTTGCTTATGCACCCATTTGTCTTCAGCGATTGTACTGGGGAGGTGAGCACGCAACGATACTATGAAGGTGAGCATCGTTGAATGCCAGTTTAATAGAAGAAAGTATTCTTCTATTGAGGGAGTACTTGAGGGCCGTGTCCATCTGCTACCGTAATACTGAACCTGTAAATATATGCACATAGGTTTATTTCCCTATCATCATATATAAATATATTTACATACGTACATGCCTGTATTTAGACCTCTATAAATGCCCTTTGCCTCCTAGCTCTTTCCTCTATTTCCTTTTACTTTCCTCTTGTCCCACTATCATGCTCAGCCTTCTTTTGGGTTTCAGTAAGTCCTTTTAGTTAAATTACCCTTGATCACGCCCTACCAGGCCTCCTACCCCCTCCTCACCACCGATTTGGATCACTTATAAAACACAGACTCTTAATGTCACTAAAACCTTGACATTTCATGTTTAAATTGAGGCCCAAAATTACAGGGTAAGGATCATCATAAATTTTAAAAGTATCTCTTAGCCTACATATTTAGCACTAACAATCAGTATTGTTTTGTCATTTGTTAAGTCACTTCTGTGTGAGTAATGGGTCTTAACTCACAAAGCTCATCTGTGGTCTGTCAAGCAGATACCAGGTCTCCTCAACTGAACAAATGACTGTCTTCTACACATACCAGCTGCACAAATTCTTACCTTGACTGAAGTGCAAATTTCTACATCACCTTTGGAAATTGCTAAGGAATAATAGAAATTGTGATTTAAGAGTTTTAAAGTATCTAAGGCTTTCAGTTTTACTTGTAGTTCCAGTTATTGGAATCAGTTCTTTTGCATAAAAATTACAAAATACCCTGCCTATCATTTATCAAAATGAGCTAGTATTTAAAACATTTGCATGTCAACTTTTTTTTCTTTCCTTAAAGTCTCAGGGGCTCGGGTCCTATATCAGTTAGTGTTACGTTACAACAGAAATTTTGATAAAATCACCAGCAGTAGGCCCTTGTCATTTCAAAGAACTTTAAATGTTATGGAAGAGACTTCTGCATTGAAATTGTGATTAAAGAAGGGCAAAATCTGTAACCCATCATGATTGATTTGGTTTCATCAGTTCTGATTTGATATTGACTTAATTCTCATTCATGGGAACTCAGTGTGTCAGGGTAGAACTGTTTCATATGACTTTTTAGTATCTGATTTTTCAGAAGTAGTCTACCAAATCTTTTTCTGAGCTATCTCAGGGTGGACCCAACCTGCCACACTTGTGGCTAATATCCACCCAAGGACTCAGATTGCTTCTAAACAACGCTGTACTAAAACAGATTAAGCTACCTTAATACTGAACCTATAAATATATGCATATAGATCTATTTCCCCATCATCATATGTAAATATATTTATATATGTACATGCCTTTATTTAGACCTCTATAAATGCCCTTTGCCTCCCAGCATTAAAGGCTTAAGTCAGCAAAGTGAATTAGCATTTATATATATTTTAGCATTTTACTGTCATGTTTTCAGTGTTGCTCCATGTATTTTACGTGTGAAGCATAATCGAAATGAACTCTTTATCAAGAAATTTGTATTATTCCCAATTCAAAGAAATCCATTAAAATAATTTTGATTTTATTTTTCCCTGGATGGCTCTGTATGCTTTGTATGTGAAACTATTGAAAATGTATCTAATTCTATGAAAATGTGAGATCTGAGTTGCCATCAAATCAGTTTCACTAATTCATGGCCACCATATAGGACAGAGTAGAGTTACACCCCTCCCATCTCCCCCCGACCCTCAGTTTTCTAAGACTGTGATTATTAGGGAAGTAGACTACCACATCTTTTTCACGTCGAGTGGTTTGTGGGTTTGAAGTGCTGGCCTTCTGGTTAACAGCTGAGAGCACTCAACCACTGTGCCAAATGTGAGATAGTTGTCTTCGGCTAGGTTTTTCACAGTAGCAAAACCAGTGAAGCGTGTGTGTGTGTGTGTGTGTGTGTGTGTGTGTGTGTGTGTGTGTGTGTGTGTTTTCACAGTAGCAAAACCAGTGAAGCTTGTGTGTGTGTGTATGTGTGTGTGTGTGTTCACAGTAGCAAAACCAGTGAAGCTTGTGTGTGTGTATATATGTGTTCACAGTAGCAAAACCAGTGAAGCTTGTGTGTGTGTGCACGTTTGTGTGTGTGTGCACGTTTGTGTGTGTGTGTGTGTGTGTATGCACACACACACATATATACTGAGAGATCGCTTAAGGAAATGGCTTGTATGAGTGTTGAGGCTGACAAGTCCAAAGTCTGGGTAATATATATATTGGGCTGGAAGCTTCTCTTTACTCAAGTAGCTGCAGGGGCCGATGACCCCAAGATCATCAGATCAGATGATCAGATGACCTCACTATCTGTGGAGGTCACCAAAGCCTAAGATTGACAGGCAGTAAAGTAGGCTGCTGGCTTAAATCCGAAGAACCCAGAGTTCAGATCATGATAAACTGTGCACAGGCTCCAGATCAAGCAAAAAAGCCAGAGAGCGTTGCCGGAATATCTGTAGATATTGGATGGGAGCTACGTCCCTGTGGAAACTCCATTTTAGTCATTTCATACCAGATCTCAAGGAGCCCTGATGGCTAAGTGGGCTACATGTAGGGCTATGCACCAAAAGGTCAGTAGTTTGAAACCACCAGCAGTTCTGTGGAAGAATGGTGAGGCTTTCTACTTCCTTAAAGATTGACAGCCTTAGAAACCCACAGAAGTTCTACTCTGTTGTATAGGGTTCCTATTAGCTAGACTCAACTCAATGGGCATGCATTTGCGTTTTAAGCGTATCAGACCTCGTGGAGGGTAATCATGCTGACCATACCAGGGATATTTAAAAAGTTCAGGGGAAAATTCCTTATCTTTTAATTCATTTGAACTTTTGAAGCCCTTTCATAATGTATCAGATCTTTTGGGGAATGACTATACCATAAGTGCCAAACTTAGAATCATGGCCCACCCAAATTGAAACACAATCTTAACTTTCACCATCCATTAGATAAAAGGCTATTTGAGGGAACTTAACTGAAAAAGAAGCCCTGCTGGTACCATGAGTACGTGCTTAGTTGAAGGTCAAATGGGTATTCAGTGGTTGAACCCACTAACGGCTTTGGGAGAAAGATGTGGCAGTCTGCTTCTGAATACCTTGAAACTGTGGAGCAGTTCTTTTCTGTCCTAGAGAGTTGCTATGGATAGGAATTGCCTCAACAGTGGCAGGTATAAATTAAAACAGGACCTTATCAAACCAGTTTTGCAAGTTGTCTTATGAAATGATTAATTTATTCATGTTTGGCTTATTGTGCAAAATACAAGGAAAATTTTTAGTTTTTATTTAAGGGTGTTAGGTATATAACTTAAATATTTATTGAGCAATTTAGATGTATGGAAGGTGATTATTGTGACGCAGATAGGCCCTAGAGATCCCTGGGAGGATGGGGGGGATCCCAGCGATTTGCTTCAGAAGGCATAGAAAACCTTATGGGGCAGATCAGTTCTGTCACATGGGATTACTTTGGGTTTAAGTTGACTTAATATCACCTAACAACAACGTGATCCTATAGAAATTACTGTATCATTTTGCCAGCAGAGGGAGATGTATTCTAGAATAATTAGACCCAAACCAAACCAAAGTCAGAGTAATCGGATTGATGCCAGCAGGAGAGAACGGTCCCTGTAACTTTTCTGAGACCGTATCTCTTCATAACTGAATGGCAAGTACTGGCTTCATTTTAAAACAGAAGTAAAACTTGGCAGTTTAAGACTTTAGGGCTTTCTTTGAGTTAATATGTTTCACTTAGAATATAATTATTGTTTTTTGTCGTGGAATCTTTTTTAAAAAAAATAATTTTATTGGGGGCTCATACAACTCTTATCACAATCCATCCATCCATCCATTATGTCAAGCACATTTGTACATTTGTTGCCATCATCATTCTCAAAACATTTGCTTTCCACTTGAGCCTTTGGTATCACCTCCTCATTACCCCCTCTCCCTCACGAACCCTTGATAATTTATAAATTATTATTATTTTTTCGTGTCTTACACTGACCAATGTCTCCCTTCACCCACTTTTCTGTTGTCCCTGTCCCAGGGAGAGGGTTATATGTAGATCATTGTGATCAGTTCCCCTTTTCTCCCCCACCTTCCCTGTATAGCTACTTATTATTGGTCCTGAGGGATTTATCTGTCCTGGATTTCCCTGTTTCTCCTTTCCTATCTGTACCAGTGTACATCCTCTGGTCTAGCCAGATTTGTAAGGTAGAATTGGGATCATGATAGTGGGGGTGGGGGTGGGGTGGGGAGTATGTTTCATTGTTGCTGTACTGCACCCAGACTGGTTCATCTCCTCTCCGAGACCCTTCTGTAAGGGGATGTCCGGTTGCCTACTGGTGGGCTCTGGGTCTCCACTCCACACTCCCTCATTCACAATGATATGATTTTTTGTTCTTTGATCCCGTCGACACCTAGTGTTCACACAGGCTGGTGTGCTTTTTCCTTGTGGGCATGTTGATTCTGAGCTAGATGGCCGCTTGTTTATCTTCAAGTCTGTAAGACCTCAGGCACTGTATCTTTTGATAGCTGGGTACCATCTGCTTTCTTCACCACATTTGATTATGCACCTGCTTTGTCTTTAGTGATTGTGTCGGGAAGGTGAGCATCATGGAATGCCAGTGTAATAGAAGAAAGTATTCTTGCATTGAGGGAGTACTTGAGTGGACATTGTCCACCTGCTACCTTAATACTAAACCTATAAATATATACACATAGATCTATTTCCCCATCATCATATATAAATAATATTTACATATGTACATGCTTGTATTTAGACCTCTATAAATGTCTTTTGCCTCCTAGTTTCTTCCTTTTTTCCTTTGACTTTCCTCTTGTCTATCATGATCAGCCTTCATTTGGATTTCAGTAATTCCTTGATGTGGAATATTAAGAATGATCATATGTATTCCATGCTCTAGGGAGAAACATGGTTTTCTGTAAAGATATATTGGTTCTAGCATAAATTTTAGAAATTTGGAATGGCTCAATTGCATTATTTGAATTTGAAAACAAAGAATTGTGGGTAAGGAAGCCAAAAACTAGTTTTTTCAAAATGTGCAGCATTATTGTAACGGTGGATGAAATTTTTATAGAGCACGTTCTCAAGGAAAAACAAAACAAAATAAATTGCATCTCTTTATTGAATTGATTGAGATAATTATGTAGGTCATTTATGCCATGTAGTCTTCATTGTACCATTTTAAAAGTGGGGCTTAGTGTTACTAGAAGTGTTAGTTTAGCAACAGCAAAGTTACCAATTTCAGATATACTGAATCTGCTGAAGACGAGCTGAGGCGCTCTTATGCACGTGGAGGCTTAAATTCCATTTTCCTTTCTTTGTAGAGTGCTGCTGCTACAGCTGCAACCTTGGCACTCCCTGCCGGCGTGACTCCTGTCCAACAGATACTAACAAATTCAGGTAACAGGACCACCATTTGTATTGCTCAGAAAATTCTACCATCTGGCTTTTTAAAAATTTTTTTTTAGAGGCAGTGAGACAGTGAGAGAGTGTGACAGTGAGTGAGTGAGACAGTGAGAGAGTGAGACAGTGAGAGAGTGAGACAGTGAGAGAGTGAGTCAGTGAGACCGTGAGAGAGTGAGTCAGTGAGACCGTGAGAGAGTGAGACAGTGAGAGAGTGAGTCAGTGAGAGAGTGAGACAGAGAGTGAGGCAGTGAGAGAGTGAGACAGTGAGTGAGTGAGGCAGTGAGTGAGTGAGACAGTGAGAGAGTGAGACAGTGAGTGAGTGAGTCAGTGAGAGTGAGGCAGTGAGAGAGTGAGGCAGTGAGTGAGACAGTGATAGAGAGAGAGTGAGGCAGTGAGTGAGTGAGTCAGTGAGAGAGTGAGACAGTGAGTGAGTGAGTGAGACAGTGAGAGTGAGACAGAGAGAGTGAGACAGTGAGAGTGAGAGTGAGTGAGACAGTGAGAGTGAGGCAGTGAGAGTGAGGCAGTGAGAGAGTGAGGCAGTGAGAGAGTGAGGCAGTGAGTGAGGCAGTGAGAGAGTGAGTGAGGCAGTGAGAGAGTCGATCTCTAATGCTTTTATGTGACAAG